CACCTGTAGAAGAGTACTGCCTATTACCACAACTGGTATTCTTGACAAGACGGCAGATATGTACTGCGGGAAGTACATTCTCAGGAGTCTTACAGAAACAGCCTCAATTTTGAAGCCAAATCGTTGCTTGTTACTGAAAAGCAATATATGCTTAAGTGAAAGAATTTTACATTATAGGAAAGAAAGATAACGGGGGCAAACCCATGTTTTATGTTTGTCACCTACTTTATGAAATCTTGATCCCTCTCATGTAGACTTTTAGTGGTGCGAAATGAGGTGAAGCGCATCCCCACTGTTCCATGATTTTATTTTTAGGGATTATTTCATCAGTTAAAGGTTGGCTTTTAACATCATTAAGAAGGAGTGCAAAGGCTAAAACTAAACATGAACTTCTTACTTTCATACTTACCCCTCTGCCACTGGGGACTACTCTACACAAAAGTTGCCATCTTACCTAAGATAGACATTTTTCTACACTTAGTAGCAAATACCTTACTTTGCATTTTTCTTTTCCACTTATAGCTGAATAAGCATTACTTTAAAACTGTACTTTATATTTTACTGACTTCACCCCTTCATCATTAACCTTTTACAGAACACTGCAAGCCCAATTGCTTGCTTCATTTCTCAGTGGCAAGGAAATCTTCAACCACCCCAGACAAATGGAAGACTAAGAGATGCAGTAACTGGAGAGTTAGCCAATCCAACTCTCCTCACCCATCTTCAGTGCTGCACTTATTATATTACTATCCACAGTAATTGTTGTCTAGAGACTTCGCCAAATTTATCATGGTTTTGTCCTCTGTGCTCCTCTACCACTTGCCACTGTCTGGATTAAAGGAGCAGAAGCCCTCAATGTACAATTACCTCTCAGCTGTCCAGCCAGGGTGATGGAGTAATAACGTGACCTACACATTTTGTTCCTCACAAACACGTACTCTACAGACTGAGCTCATGAATTCCACTTTCCCTGGCTCAAGGCCTGGAAACTTGAGTCTTTACCAAGTGCCAGGCCTCCCACTGAGGGCAAAATTAACCTCAGTCTACAGGTCAGAGCAGTCCAATTTCCCTGTATTTTGCAAAATATTGCTTTAAGGATATGAGGTTAATGAGGCATCTGAGACCATTTGGTAGGTATTTTAATTCCGAAAGGTTGTTTGGTTAGTTTGTTTGTTTTTACACAACTCTAATGCGGATTATGCAATCTAACAACTGTCCCTCTTTCACTTATCATTGCAACCTCCTCCCTAACCACAGATAACCTCTAATTTAATATTTAACAGTCGTTTAGAATTAACAACTTCATTTAAATGTTCCCCATGACAAAGGAAACAGATTAATAATGCAGTGGTCTTAAGGATTCGTAAAGTCCTCAACTTCAATTTGCCTCTACATTAAATGCTAAAATTGCAGTTTAACATTACAATCAATGGAATCAATAGTACCTTTGAATTTATATGGCTCACTAGTATGTCTCATCTGCCTTTTGGGACCCAATCTTAAAGAGATTAGCAAAAGACCACGTTCACAGCATCTCGTCCCTTCATGGTCTCCATGGTCCATCCTGTTCCTTTGTGCTACATCTCCCCCCGCCCCCCCATCATTATTCACGTGCTTTTAGCACCCACTTCCAACTACTTCTTAGTACTTTCTACAAAACTATCTAGTCAATCGTCAGCAATCAGGAGCACTTTTACAGTTTAACTATGCTAAATTAATACCAGTTAGTTAATATTTAGTAAAGAAGCTAGCTAGTATTGAAGAGAAAAAGCTGCTCTACCTCCTTTAAACTTTTATGAACTAAAAGCGAACAAACCCGGCATAATCACTTCCACAACAGAAAAAAGAGGTACCCTTGATTCAAACTTTTTAAAAGTGCAAACTTCTGCTTCCACATTGTCATTTCAATTTCTCTTTACTAATTGCCTCAGAAACACAGTTCACATTGTGTAGTCAGGCAGAGAAAAACATACACAAAAGTTACACAGATTGTCTAACTTGTTCGTATCCTGAGCCAAAAAGGGCAGAATGTACACTGTACTTTTGAGAATGAGTTTAGAAACAAAATGACTGGTTTAATGTTTGCCCGATTTTACAACAGCTATAATGAAAAACCCACGAATTTTCTTCCATTTAAAAAAGTCATTTTCCACGGAAGAACTTCATTCTGTATATGGACCAACTTACCCCTACCTCCAAACTAGCAACACACATTTTTATATGCTTGCCTGACCACGAGACAGGTAAACTATACTAAGAAAAATCTACACTGATTTGCATAGGTTATCTAACAATATAGGACAATGTCAAAATATGGTCAACTGAATACTCCAACTGCAACTTTGATTTCAAGAAAACCAAAATAACTCAAAAATACTTGCACAGAGCAAGGAGGTCACTTCAGTGCGTTAATATCCACACCTTCCAAACTCTGTAAGCTTTTATTAATGCCAAACTTATTAATCCACATTGTTCTGAAGAATTCACAAGAAGCAAATGAAGACTGAGACCATCTGACCCTCTAAACTGTGCATACAGACTGCCCAGCACTTTATCAGTTTACTGCTCAAGATCTACTCAAATATAGCAGTACAAAATGAGCAGAGCAGCAAAAAAATCCCAAGACACTCTGTCACTTCCACCGCTCCTATTCACAGGCCTGTAGGCATCAATAAAGCAGGAAAGTCAAACAAAGCCCATGTGTACACTTTGAAGAGCCAGCAGAAGTCAGAGGTTTCTACCTGGAAGGAAAGATGTGCACCAGCTCCATATTGCATCAGTCAGGGGACTGCAGAAAAACAAGAGAAAGACTGACTTCGTATGGGCTGACCATGGCTGCCTCTCATCTACTTATCGCAGGCTCCGATTGCCATGTTTAGTTCACCACATATGGGGCCTACAGTTGAATGGCCAAGATTCATATTTGTCTGAATAGACAGGAGAGACTCAAGGTAAGTTAGAGGAGTACAGCATATAAGAGGACTGACCTTGTTAGGGAAGAGAGTAAGGAAAAAAAAAAAATGCATAGAGGACAGACTACCACTGTAAACTGAGTAATACAATCTGTAGCTGTGGGTGGAGAGAGCAAGAAAAAGAGCAGACACTGAAGAAAGTACAGCAGAAAGTATGCTGAGATACAATATGGAAGAAGCTACATGGAACGAAGTAAAAGGTGAAAAAGATCTATTAACGTCTGTCTTTTTTGACTAAGCTCTCTTTGAGGCAAGGAGTGACTTTTTTTCTATCTCCGCATAGCCCCTGGCACAATGGCATACGACTTACCTGCCAGTTTCCAGAGTATACTACAGAAAGAGCAAATAGCAGCAAGAGACTGATGCAGCAAACCAGCCTGTCCAACAGGTTTTAAGAAATACACAGTTTGTTCAGGAACGAGACTGAATAACATAATGTTCCTAGGCCTCTCCAGATAACAACCAAGAGAAGGAGGAATTTTCTTGTGTATTGATCAACGAAGTGCTGGTGCTGGGTTGCAACATGCAGTTTGGAGAAAGCGTCAGTGAGATGTGTGCTACTACGATAAGAATCTGTAATAAAAACCAGTCGACCACATCACAGACCAAACCAGAGTACTCACGAGAACACAACCATCATTATTATTAATTACAAACAGTACTGTACTTTGGTGGTGGGAATACAGTCTTAAGTTCACCTGAATAGGTATCACATCCCCTATTCATATTCTGATCAGCCATTACATTTGTAATATAAATGTGAATGACAGATGCCTCAAATCATTAGTCAACTGAATAATAAATAAGGACAGCGTGCTGAAGACATCCCCAATATGGAAGTGAAATTCATTAAGCAGCTGCTTTGGGAATCTCTGACCTCTTATATGGAGGTGAAACACTTCATATTCCACAGATAAATATACTGAGCACAACTCTAATTAGTTTTAAAACTTAAAGAAAAGATAAAAAGGAAAAAAAAAGGTGTTTCTTCTCAGTACATCCTCCCATTCTGCAATACAAGCAGGAGCACTGCAATAGAATTACTGGTTACCCCAAATCATTACTTTTGGTTTAAATTTGAAATAAATATCCTGGGCAGTATTGAAAATCTGAGTAAACATTACTTACAGATTCATTGCCTGTAGACAAGTCCATATTCTACACACCTATCAAAAACTTGACAGGTACCACACGCATACATACACACCTAACTCCAAACCTATGCTGTACTGGCCCACATATAGTCAAGTATTCAACATAACAGCTACAAATGTTTTTTGAATACTATTACCTATGTTCTTGCCACAGTCAGAAAGATTTTTGTAATACACCGTGTGGACCACAGCCAATGTTTTTGCTTTTCTACTCTCAAACACACATTGGTGCCCTTGGCATCTTTTTTTTTTTGAAACTTTTTTTGGAAATATTACAGGACTGTTAAGGATGTTCCATATTTAGGCTAATTGTGTATTTTATATAACCTTTTTTACATTACAGGAAAACCCCAAAGAACAAGGGGAAACAAAACACATAAGCAAAAATCACCAAGTCAAATAAACCAGGAAAGATCATTTTAAAAATGAGGAAACCTTACTTGCAGAAGTAAGACCACTGAACTAGTGAGATATAAAAAGATATAAAAAGGACAAACATTCAAACCTTTATTTAGCCCACAATATGGACAGAAATGAGCTCTTCACACTTTTTTTTTTTTTAAGTAGATCTACAATACTGAATGTATTTCTAAACACCACATCTTGCACTTAGACGGATCTACACTGGAGACTTCCATAGTCAGGAGACTTCTAGAAAACCTTCTTTAAAGTTATATTTTGTTGCAGTCGACTTCTACTCGTTTATTCAAGGTAGATGCTACTAGAGTTTTGCAGAAAATCGAGTCAGGGACACTCCAACCATCCTTAGAAATGACAGTCATCTGTCATACAGTCAGCAGAACTTAGTCAAGGTAGTTCTGTGCACACACACGCACAAACATTAATGTATTTAATACTAAATTATAAAACTTACTTTTGTGCATCTGCAGATCGTTTCCAGCCTCCTTGCAGATCCTGTGAGATATCTTTCCCAATATTATTTAAGATGGCATCATCTTTATTTTCAGAATCCTCTTTTATTCTAGCTGTAGAACAGATAGGCTCTTCAATTTTCGGACTCTTTGGCTGCATGTCCTCCGGAAGGGTATTTGTGTTCTGTAAATCCTTTTCACATCTGTTGGGTTCATCTTGTAAAGTAGAGGGTTTAGATTCTACCAAAGAAGTTTTTGTTGCAATATTAAATAAGCTTCCAAGAAAATGAAAAAAACCTTCTCGGGGTTGCTTGTCTTTATGTGCTGTTTTGATTCCAGGAGTCAAACTAGGAAGGCTATTAGCCTTTTTCAGCTCCTCCTGAATTTCAGACTTGCTAAGTTCTTCTGTGGAATGGTTCTTCTCTTCATTTTGACAAACCTAAGATAAATACAAGAAGCACATAAAGATGATGTTTCCTGTCATTTTCCCCACATTCCCAAATTCCTTAATTTTAATTTGCTCCTATGCATTGTATTTCTTTCAGGAGATCTGTTGTTTAAAGGTTCATTTTAAGATCAAAGCCCTGTGCTCTCCTCTTCTCTTTTTGTACTAAAAAAGGTCCCTATTCTACAAAAAGCCGAAAGGACTACATAGGCTAGAAGATTCACAAAGCAGCTGCTGTGGAAGTAAAGTACAGAAGGACAGATGGAGAACAATTGCTTCAACTGGCAGAAAAAAACAGAGGAAGAAGCAAGGAACAATTTTTCACACTTCAGACTCTAATCTGCTCAAAAAGCACAGCTTCACAAACAAATCTATATGCACTTGCGAGATGAACAGTTTTCAGCTTGCCAGTATACGCAAGAACACCACAGCAAAACACAAACGTACCATAGCCTTAAACACAGGGTAACCTGCATTTGTAAAAACCCCAGGAGAATCAAGAACAGAATTTGGATAAAATGAACTCAACTCACGTGCCAGAGATTAATCCTATCTGCTATCCTTAGCAACCCCATGTTGCACCCTTTGGCCAGCTTTCCTTCAACTCCGCAGGCTATTAACTGCACAGCTCTATTTCCAAATCTATTTGAAGTCTCATGCAGCTCCATAGTCTACCGTGCTCAAACTGCACAGTTTTCCATACAGCCAAAGTCCTACACACCACTACCCCTGCACCCACGACCTTCTGAACTGCCAATCAGCTCTATCAGCTAACCAAAAATAATTAGCACTAAGACAGGGCTTCACCTCATTTAAATCACCTGTTCATTTCTTCCCTCAACTCAGCTGAGCATCTACCCCAAGGGGCAAGACAAGCTCTGTTCCTCACCAATTTATGCCCTTAAATTTCCCCGGTGTCAGCTTCTCTTACAGATTCAAGAACCACTGCCCAAGCCCATGCTACTTCTGCCAAGACCATCTGCCCAAAAAGATTATGCAACTTCACTGGTAGGCGTCACAAACACCACGTGCAACCACGTTTTCAGCTTCACTATCTGCACATGCTTCTTCCCTGGACTAAAGTTTTCTGGGGACCACCTCCCCCCATCCTCACCCTTCGTAGTGGGTGCCATATGCTATTGCTGTCTATTTTATCTTTACAGTACAATCCTTGTAATTTCAATCCCTGTTTCAATCCAGTTTATTAAAACAGAATAAAATTATCCCAGCTTTTCTTAGATGACATCTATTCTGCTCAACAGGAGTGGGAAAGGAGAACATGAACAAAAAGTCCTATGCAAATTTTAGTTGTGTCAACAGTATCTTTGGATAAGAGTAATTGTTTCAAATTGGATAACTACCCATCCAATCTAAGCAGAAAGCTACTATTTTCATTAGGCCACTAATCCTATTTCAACTTGAAGATATACTTGTTTCAAGTAACCTAAAATAAGCGAGTAGGCTTATTTGTTAATAGTCCATCTAGGATCACATTAATGATGGAAAAAGTGTTTTAATGAACACAGTTTAATCCTTGGGGATTCTTAAAACCATTTCTTAAAAACTTGCAAGTTATACTTAGTGATACTGGAGAGTGGTCTTTAATCTTCAAGCAATATTTTGTCACCTGTTTCATACAAAGAGTAGATGCAATTGCTTAATATTAAGTCATCCGATGTATGTGTTGAAAATGGAATTGTTTACATGAGGATAGAAATTGAATGGCACTAATCTGTCCTGGAGAAATCCATACAACCTCTATTTTCTTCATACAGTCAAGACACTTAAAAAACCACATTAAGTAAACTTTCCGAAGTGGGCTAAGTCAAACTCTAGCCTTTTTTCATCCCACCTGTGACAAATCCCACCTGCTTCCCCACATACGGCACTAATCAATAGCTGATGTGTCACAAAGGGATGTAGTCACCCCTGTAGTATTGAGGGATTTACTACTTTACAAGTCAATTCTACCCTGGAATTACCGCTGGAAATGAAGACAACAACGGTACAGCTTACAGATGTACCACAGTGCTGGCGGGTATCTTCAGTACTAGGCAAACTATGCAAGTAACATGCAAACCTGGGATGAATCTCTTGAACAATAAACTTTATCTCACAGGAACTAAGTACTTTGCATAAGGAAATACAAAACAGAAACAAGAAAAAAATTAATTTCCAAAATTTGATAAAACATGAATGATTCACCATAGTCAACTTCAAAGTTCTACTGTCATAGTTTCTTCCTTCACTTTGATTAATACCTCAGCATTCTTCAATACCAGTTTTTGATTCAACTTGAAGCGAAGGAGGGCATTTCTCCCTTGTTCTGTGATTAGTATCATTCACACAAATTTGTCAGATTTAAAAGAATATCTCAATGCAGGAAGTGCGCACAAATCTTACTATTTTCTCTGCAGATATAACCATTATAAGCTATAAACATTTATATTAATTACTACAATATCTATGCAGTTAACAGCTAAATGCATTAACTATAAAAGAAGATATTACATTCAAAACTTGTCAACAGTTTAGTATTATGGGCTTTTTTTGTTGTTGTTTGTTGTTGTTTTTAAAGTAATTTGTATTCAGGAACTAGTGGGCTTTTCCTATTAGGAACTGAGACTTCAACTATGGCTAAATCTCTACATGTGAAATTCTTCCTCTAGCAGCTCTGAGACTTAATGCTTGTAAAGACTGTGCTTCTTATTTGTAAGCATAATTCATGCCCTGCATGAAAAGCTGTTTGTAGTCTCTGTTTCCAGAAACAGAAATCTGTTTAGACTTTCCTTCCTCTTTAATCTTCCTTTCCTTACTTTACTTTTGGTAAATCAAAAGAACAGGAAGTTTTAATATGAAAGGGTCCTTCCATACCTTTAACCATAAATAGTGTCTTGCATAACAAAAGCCCTGGAGAACATTTACACTGTGCTGACTTGAAGATATACATGGATATTAACTCCCAGTGCAGAAACTATGCAAATCCTTCTTTCTTCCTTTCAACATAATCAATCCTACTCTCCATATATTCTCCTTCCTGCTCCACTTTGCTTCTGCTATAAAAGACAGTGTGAGCTATTGGTGTTTTATCATTTGCCCATAAAAATCTCAATTCAAAGTTTGCACCACTGTTTAGGCATTATACAAACAAAACTATTCCTGCTACAGATTTTGAAGTTTGTATTTTAAGATAATGCCATATTCAAATTACTGAGATGAAAGCGCATGATCTGTAAAGTCAGTAAGCCTTTAACACAGCAGGAGCTGTCAGGCACAAGCACCTGACGAACGCAGCAGTATGATGGCAATTTCACGATAACTTTCAATTATTATTTCTCATGCCTCTCTCTGAGGTCGTCGTCTCTGACAGAAGCCGCCAGCAAATGCTCAGGGAGAAAAAAAAAAAGGGCATAGGGTATATGCAAAGTAATCCTTTTCCTGGTATATCCCATCCATTTTCAACAGTCAGGGCCCTTAGTTGACCTCGACAGAGCAGTTGCATCTATGATACTCACAATAGTGGAAGAATACCAGTGACTCTTGTATTAGTTACACTTCATGTCATCGGCTAATTAAAAAAAAAAAAAAAAAGTAAATCCTCTTCCAGTGTCACAGCAGTCTGAACAGTTTCTCAGACTTACCAGACAGACAATAGTTTTTGGATGAAAACCTACCTGCCAGATCCGCTTTGAGATCCTTGCTGATGCAAGGAAAAGTGTTTTCCTGCTGTAGTGTTGTCTTTCTGCTCCTTTTGTATATGAACTGTCATCAGTCTTCCCTTTGCCTCCCCTTTCCCACTCTCCCTGAGCTTTCCTGCTTGTGACATGCTTCATAAAGCTTTAATTAGCTTTTATTTCTTTAGCAACTCGTTAGTCAAAGTTTCACTGGGCAAGCCCTGGGTAACCTGGCCTGACCTTATAGCTGAACCTGCTTTAAGCAGGAGGTTGGGCTAGATGACATCCTGAGGTCCCTTCAACCTGAATTATCCTATGGTCCTGTGACCTCACACGCAATGAGGCTGGTGCAGAGGGGAAGCTCGGCAGAGCGTGAAACAACATTATGACTTAAATCAGGTGACTGAAGAGACTGCAGCGATAACTGAAGCTGTATCTACTGTGCAGTCAGGTAGTGCGGTCTCAACTTGCTGAAGCAACTGCTGCAGAGAAGCTTGGCAGCTGGGACTCAGAAGACAAGCCCACGATGTCATGTCTCAAGCGTGATTCTTATCTGAGCTAATTTATTCAACAGTAGACTAGGTATGTTTTCCAGGCTGTAATCCACTCCTGACTGTAGCACAGACATACACCCAAAGCCTAGCTGCACCTACGCGGTCAGGCGCAGGGCTTGCCCCCCGAAGTGCAGAAAGCAGTTCCAGAGGAGCAACAGCACCCTGAAGAGGGATCGCTTTGCCAGGTTTGCCTCGCCTTCCATACCAGCTGGGAACAGCCGCCCTGGTAGCTGCCATCTCTCAGCAGTTGGGTGGCAAAAGTTCAAATTGCCAGAGGTTCTCATTTGGCAGGGGTTACATTCGTCTGCCAAGAATACAATCTCTTTTATTGCCTTAACAAGTGACTGAAATGAAAACATTAACAGCATTAAAACACAGATATCCGTGAACAAAGAATTAGCTTCCAGCCACAACAGCCAGACATTTTGGATTTCACTCCCCATGAACGAACACTCATTACGACGCAGAAACTCCAGACAGCCCTGTGGAGACCTCTCACAGACCGTCTGCCCTGCTGCGCTGATGGAGGACATTCTGCATATCACATGGATATGCTCGTGCACTTTAACCACCCCATCTCACCTGCAGTTGTGAGAGAAGACGGCAACCCATCAGAATTTTAGGATCATCATTGATTCACCCCAGGGACCTTCAACAAGCCATTTAACCCCAACACCCCAATTTACTCATCTGATAAACGGTCATAGCACTACTCCAGAATTTCTGTTTGTTAGCATGTAGAAATAGTTTAAGAGTTTCAGATTAA